AAATATTGATGTACTTATTCAAACTTACTGTTCATAACATTTAAAGGGTTGCGAATCGCTTCGGAAAACTACCGACGAGACCATCATGACCATAGGTAAATTTTGTAAAATTTCAAGTCATCGTTATCTAATAGATGGTGTCGCTTTTTACAGAAACGGAACAAGATCAAGCTCAGACTTGGCTGGCGAAGCAGGACCTTGACAAAATTGGAGCGCAAAACCTAACCCCTCTTACTGAAGAGGTCAGCAAATTGTTGTCACAGCCACTTTTATAAAGTTTGATGCGTTTTTCTTTCTTCGAAGATGTTTTCATCGATTGAAAATGGATGGTAAATTTATTCATTGCAGGTAATTTCTCGCCAAGCTACCATTAATATTGGAACAATCGGTCACGTAGCTCATGGAAAGTCAACACTAGTGAAGGCTATTTCTGGTGTGCACACTGTCAAATTCAAAAATGAATTGGAAAGGAACATTACTATAAAGCTGGGATATGCTAACGCGAAAATTTACCGATGCTCTAATATAGACTGTCCGCGTCCTGGTTGCTACAGGTAAATCCTTGCAAAACATTTTTGCTCCTGCTATATGTTTCACAAAATTGTTGATTATTTACAAGGTCACTGTAAAGAGATTAACCAGTTTCATAGGCTCATACATGAGTCATACCACACTTTTGTGATGTAGTTGACAGTCAATATCATAGATTTGGGTTCTCATTAGAAACGAAGTGGTGTAGTGGCAAGTGGGCTGCTTACCATTTACCACGGTTCTGCATTCAAATCCTGGATCGTGCGCTACTCGGCCAACCAAGCCTTGCAGGAGTAAAACTTTCAGCTGTACATGGGGTTGCCGTTACAAGTCATTATGTACGCCAAATTACATCCAAGGTGTTGCCATGGTTCTGAAGGGAGGAATCCTTGGCGCATCCCAAAAGCGGACTGATCAACGCCGATTGTTTTATCCTTTACTATTGAAAACAAACGCTACTATCTCGTTCTCAAGGCTCAAAGGATGGGAACGAAATCCTGACTCGACTTAGGCAAAATTATGCCTAATTCACTTTCTTATGAAGGCATAGATGTTCACCACCGCCTTTCCTTTAATGCCATTAAAGTTGCACTATCGCAATAAAAGCAGTAAAGAGATGAGAGTGTCGCTAGGTGCACCTATACGTAACAGGTTCATAGATTTCCCAACTCACCTGCAGTGCATCTCATTCAGTGAATAAGTAGAGAATGTGAATGTGAAAGGTCAGTTAAACTAATGAAATGAACTTTTTCCTTCACATATCTCAGTCACATGATCATTCTTCTTGAATGACAAGTGTTTGATCTATGTAATTGGACAGGGCAATTTCCCTTCTTATATCCTTATCATAGGTTTTTGAAAAATTTCATGTAGTATTGCGAACACGGTTTCTCATTTCTTTGATAACTTTCTGTCGCGTCATTATTTCTTTTTTTCGTAAACTCATTCGCTACCAAAAATTCATCCGTGAAATAATTGTTGACAAGACATGTGACATGCTGAAGATTCTGTTGCCGTTGGCCCCATAAAGTCGTCAGTCACGTTAACAATCCGTACGTGACGTTATCGATAGCTCGTCGGCCGCCTATAGAGCGCCTTTAACGATGGGTGGCGGGTTGAAGTCTCGCCTGAGACTAAAGCTTCGGTCATAATCCAACATTTTTGTGACTGCATATGGTTAATTCCTCTCTATGTCCCATGTCCCATGTACCTTAGGCAGTATCTAATCTTTCTGTTCATAAATGAACCACTCATCGCCCTCCACTTTTGCCATCACGCTTGTATCAATATTGTTATGTTTATAATTTTGGCGCAGTATTACAGTCTATAATTGCAAAAAGCGTGAACTTCAAGCAAGAATTAATTCAAAAACTTGGACGAGCTATATTGTGTCGAAGTCTAGATGTTGTGCTTCAGCGATTCTCGTTTACAGATCTGCTGGCTCATCAACACCAGACCGTTTTCCATGTGATCGGCCAGGTTGCGGAGGGCAGTTCACTTGTGTTCGCCACGTATCCTTTGTCGACTGTCCTGGTCACGACATTCTTATGGCAACTATGCTTAATGGAGCCGCAGTAATGGATGCTGCATTTCTTTTAGTCGCAGGTTTAGCCACTAAAACATTTTTAACATCATAGCGGCTGAAGTTCATTGCTTCCAGGTAACGAACCATGCCCACAACCACAGACTTCCGAGCACTTGGCTGCTGTAGAGATTATGCAACTGCAGCATCTTCTCATTCTTCAGAACAAAGTGCGTTGTTCTATTGGTTTCAATTTTGTAGTAGATTTCAAAAGTCTGTAAAGCATGTCAGTGGATTTCAGGTGGATATCATCAAGGAGTCTCAGGCTCGGGAACAGTATGATCAGATCAAGTCTTTCGTGCAAGGTACAGTTGCTGATAAAGCTCCAGTGATTCCAATTTCCGCTCAGCTCAAGTACAATGTCGATGTGAGTATTCACTTCCTCGCAATAACTCCTAAAGCTACTTTAACAGGAAATTTTCAGCTTGTGTGCGAATATCTTTGTAAGAAAGTGCCAGTTCCACCTCGCGACTTTACCTCTCCTGCTCGCCTCATTGTCATCCGTTCGTTCGATGTCAACAAGCCAGGATCAGAAGTCGAAAATCTTAAGGGAGGTGTGGCTGGAGGTTCAATCTTAAGAGGTTTGTGCTATGTTCTTGTTTCGAAAACTTGTTGGTCCTTGTTTGATATCACACCGTTTGGAACAAATTCGAGATAGTGACGTTACAATAACAATGTTACAATAGAAGTGGTTTTAGAAGGTTGGCGCGACCGAGGAGGGAAAATCGAGTGGAAGCACAGTCTCAGAAACTGAGCTTAGAGTAGAGCTTATATGTTGGCAACGCAATCCTCCAATTATATGTAGTTGGAAGTGTGTAGGATTTTGTAGAAGTAGAGGAAGCTGTTGCCGCATATCCGGAAAAAAAATGCCAAAAAATGATATTGCGTAGTAAGTTGCCGCTCTAAACAAACACATTTGCTACAAACAACTCATTTATTCATTTGTGCAGTTTGTCACAAACTCTTACTGAAGAAATTGCTTCCCTCTTCCTACCTTTTTCATCTTCAGTAAATGCACAGCCCTCCACTTTGTTAAAGTATTTATACTCGCCTACTCCATCATGAATCAACATCGGTATGCGTCACCCACTTAATTTTTCATCGAATAAATAT